ATATATTTTTATTGATAAATTTGTTTCCTACTTTTTTTTTTTTTTCGTTTGCAAAATATTTATTTGATTAATTTGATAAGATTCGAATCATACTAAAATGTGATATCAATGTTAATTACAATGTTTTAAATCTGAAATGAATTAAATTTTAATTTCAATTTTGTTATTTTATTCGAATTTAATGAATGGCTTAATAAGCATAACCAGACTTTTCCATTTCACTGCATAGTTTACTGTTTAGCTTAGTAGAAATTTGGCAAATATATTTCAATTAATTTTAGGCTTCTTTCTTTTCATTGTGAAAATGTTTTTTTTTTTTTCATTCATTTGTTTACATGAAATATTCCATTTGTCACTGTTAATCTTTGATCTTTCAGTACTTTGTTTTTCATTATTTCATTATAATTTTTTTTTTTTTTTGTTTTTTTGTTGCTGTCACAATGAAATAATTAAATCATTGCTAGCGATACAATTAGAAATTAAAGTTCTTTTGCTTCCTTTTGTTTTTGTTTTTTGTTTTTTGTTTTTTTGTTTTTTTTTGCTAAATATATGATTTGAAGTTTATTTGTCATCATTATCATCAGTGCATTATCACAATAATTATTATCATGATTTTGGTTGTACAATGTATTTTCTATTGATAATAGTAGCAATGTGCGACATTTAGAAAAGATTATTAAAAATGTTTCTCCTTGTTGTTTTTCTTTTTTTCATTCAAATAAGACATCCATTTTAAAATTTTTTGGCTTGTAAATTCGAACGAAATGCTAAATTTATTTGATAAATTCAACTAATCTTAAGATTCATTTTATGGCAAATCAAAAAAGATCAGATAGATAAGATAACAAATGATTAGTTTTGTCTCATGATTGCTATTATTATCAATGTTATCATATCATTAATAGGTTTTGTTTCCAATGAAGTACCAATGAAATCAGTGCAATTTTTATCTATCGTTTTGTGCAATAGTCAATTAATTTATGAAATTGTTTGTTAACAAGTGATACTTCCATACTTTTAACTGGCCTTTTTTTTTTTTTTTTTTTCTTATCAATAGTAATTATTTAATTATCCGATGAAAATTTTCCTTTTCTCTTTTGAGGAATATTATTTGGAAAATGTTAATAACAATTTTTGAGCCTATTATCAGTGATTGTGAATTGATTATGTAATTTTTATTAAAAAAACAAAAAAAAAAAAAAAAAAAAACAGCTAATACATTAGAATATGGTAATAGTATATTGAATAATGTTAGCAGAGAAGAAAAATGACCATTTGTCTTATCAGTGATAAGCAATGAAAAAAATGATAAGTTAAAATTAAAAAGCGAAGATAGTAATCAAACATAGATAACTATAAATTCTGATGCATATAAAATCTTGGAATAAGATAATATGAAAGTGAAATAAAATTACACAAATTAGCTTATGAATACATTTTGAAATTTATTTGATTTTGAAATATGCAAATGAAGGAAAGAAAAAAAAAGGCGGAAAATGTCTGAAAGAAATGTTTATTGTTAAAAAATTTTTATTAAAATTAATAATAACAGCTTAATTGGTAAACATTCTTGGAGTGCTTATTAAGTCTAATTAAGATTAAAATTCAAAAATAATTAATTGAAAATTGAAATAAAATCACAGCTTACATTTACAAAAAAATGAAGATTACATGCAAATAAGTGAAATGTAAGCAATTACTTACCAATTTCTGTTCTAGAAAAAATATTTTCTATATTTAAATTTAAGCTATTTTATGAAGAGAAATGATTTCTATCTGTCGTAGAAGTTTAATTGAAAATTCCTTTTTTTTTTTTTTTGGTAGAAGGAAATGAAAAAAGCTTATAAATCTTTTTTTTTTTTTTTTTTTTGTTCTTCAAGACTTTTTTTTTAAATTTTAGTTAAAAATTTGCTTTGAAATTTTTAATTAATTTTTTGCAAAAATGCTATCAAATGAACAATTATAGAATGTAACTCCAAGAAAAATGTTCCCAAAATTTCTAACTAAATTCATTTCATAAATTAATTTACAACAAAAAAAAAAAAAAAAAAATGATAAAACTATTAAAACATTTAGTGTAACTCATTTCGTTAATGTAATTTTCAAATTACACAGCTTATCCAATCAAATTATCATTATCAGTTGTTTGATAATTTACTTTGATCAATTTACCAATTTAATTGACAGTAATTAAAAGTTAGCAAAATTTTTGAAAATTTATTTGAAAATTTTTACAGCTCTACAAATTAGCAATCGAATGGATTTGTTTTTTAGCATTTTGAACAAAACAAAACAAATTTTTCACTTTTTATTAATTTTATCAACTATTATAGTTTAAATATTATAACGCATTATTATTATTATTATTATTCTAATAAGAAAAAAGTATAATTTCAATTGAAGAAATATTTTATGAAATTGTCGAAATTTTTTTTAGGAAAACAAATTAATTACCACCTGCTACATTTATCTATGAGAATAACGAAAAATTCAAACATTTTACATATATTTTGAACGATTTAATGCATAATTATTTCTCTATATTATATTGATTTATCACAATAATTAATACATTTCATTTTAATATATCTAATGAATTAAGAAAATAAAATTTGTAAATTATATGAAATTGAAATGAAATTAGAATTTTTACAAATATATGAATTTAAAATAATTGCCATTTTCAGCACAAAATGATACGTTTTAAATGATTGATTTTGGTATATACTTCACTTATTTTTAAAAATAATGTGACACTTTTTCAATGGCACTCATTTCTTCCTATCTTACTTTGTAATATTGAACTTTTTAAATTATAATACAGATAACTTTTTGTTATTTTTAAGCATTTTTTTTTTTATCAAATTTTCTCGATTTATAAAAATTAATACATTACCAATTTCTTTCACTAAATTACTTTCAAAATAATTATTATTTATCTATCTTTTTAAACCATTTAAATATATTCCTAATTATTATGATACGATTTGTTTTAATACAATAAATTACAGGGATTTTTTTTTAGTATGAAATGATAAACTTTACCATTTCAAAAGTTAAATTTTAAATAAAAAGCTTTGCATGAAAAGAAAAAAAAGTTGCAATTATTTAATAATTATGAAATGTTCCTCTTTTAATCTAAAAACTTATACATTTCTTTTAAAAAAATAACAAAAATAATGTCTTTTTGAAATTTAGATTATATACAATTTTTTATCAAAAAGAAAGAAATGAAAAAAAAAAAAAAAAAAACTATAAGCACAAAAATTTTTAATGAATAAATTATATTAATGATAAGCGACTTTTGCGCTTTTCTTGAAATGAACAAAATTCACTAACTAATAATGTGGTGTAATCATTTAACTAAACTGAAATACTATCTTTTTTAAATACTTATTAAAAAAGTTATAAAATTAAGGAAAACATTTTGTATAGCGCAAAGTATACCTGTCATAAGTAATCAATAAGCTATAAGTTAAGTTAAGTATATTTGGCACAATCAATATGACAATAAGTAAAAATGAAATGAATTTTACCTAGCTAAATTATCAAATGCTATTGCATTGGTATTTCTCGTGAAATAATTTGAATCAATAAGAAATTGATAAATGAAAGCTCAAATTTTAAGAACAAACAAAATATTCAGAAAAAAAAAAAAGTTAAAATGATAAGTGTTATTTTTAAAAAAATAATAAAAGCTGTGATATTAGTTATAAAATCAGATTTTAATTAATGATATGAATAATATGTTTGTCATATATGAATTGATAATATTTCTTACTATTCTTATCATTCGCTACATTCTGCTATCACTTATTCAATCGATTTCATTTACAACTTTTAAATCTTTTATATAAAAAAATGAATAAATTATAAAATATAACACATACACTTATCACTTTATCTTTCCATTAATGAAAAAAAAAAAAAAAATTAATTTACTGTTATCTTTTTGAAATCTTTTTAAAAAATCAGAACATAAGTAACCGATTTTGCATGATTTTTAGGTCAATTAACTAACGTTACAGGATTTTGATATGTAAATGACCTTGCATACCTTGTGTATATTTCTGATTTTATGTTAAGTATTAAATCATTTTAAACCATTAAAAATAAACTATAATTGAAAATATTTACAATAACTGATGACGAATGATAAGTTATTGGTTAATATTAATTATCTTCTGAAAACAAGTTTTCAGAAGATAAGCAAAATTTTATTAATTTTTGTTTAAACATTAAATTTCTTATCTATTATTTTGAAAAAAAAAAAAAAACTGTTATCGACTAAATCTGAACTAATTTATTTGAAAGTGTATGATAAAATAAAAAAAAAAAATGCAAGAAATTAAAAGGAAAAAAAAGAGAAGAAGGAGAAAAAAAAACTATAATAATATTAATTAGTAGCATAATTTTCAATTTCATTTTTTTTTTGCTTTCTTCATTATTAATTTCTTTCTTTGTTCTATTCAATAATAATCGTCATTTTATACGAAATTCAACTTTTGCCTTCCAATTTAATATTTTTTATAATTTATATCGTTCATCTATTAATTCAAATTATTTAAGTTTTAGAGTAGAAAAAGAGGAGGAAAATTTCTTTTCTAATTTCATTCAAATCATTGCTGCTACAACGATAATTTCCACCTGATTTTCATTTTCAAATTTAATGAAAAAAAAATGAATGAATTGAATTTTATAACATAATTTAAACAAAATAAAATACGATAGCAGTAGTAGTAGCAACAAATATTAACATAATATTTACTTAATATTAATTATTCATAGAATAAAATATCTATCATATATCGTTTGTATCAGTAATTTGAATGTTTCAGAGCCTAAATTTCTTGTTGAAATTAACGCCTTTTATTAAAAAAAAAAAGCACAAATGATATTATTGAATATCAAGCATCAAATATTTGGCGTTTATTTCAGATTATCATCTAAAAGAAACAATAATTTTCTTAAAAATTACAATATTTATCATTTTCATACTTCTATAGCCAACCATCCGGTGGATTCCATCCATACATAGTAATTGTCCGATTGGTTACTTTTATAAATTCTCTCTGACAGTCAATTTTTGTTTTGCCTATAAAGTATATTTAGATGCAAAAAAAAAAAAAAAAAAAAAATGAGTAAATATGAAGTAAATTATTTGAATTTTTATATCAAATTACCAATAAAGTAATTAGATAAATTGAATCAAAGTTTTTTTTTTTTTAATTCAAAAAAAGTTTTTCTCTGATAGAATTTGATATTCCTGATGTTTATTTTTTTTTAACTGAATGTCATAATTTGCATTGTGGACAAACTTCTTACTGCTTAGAAAATATCATCCCTAATGATAATAAATAACTGATGGATTAGGAAGAAAAAATTAGAAACGAAAAAAGAAAAAAAAAAAAAAAGAATTGATTGAATTAAAGCAACTGTTAAGATCAGAGAAAAAGAATAGTAATCATATTATCTTTGATCAACTATTCTTTGTCATTTATCTATAAATATTTTTGTAGTGAAATAAGAAAGATGAATGATAGTAAAATGACATGATATCTTTGCTAAAACGATGAAATGAATGTGTAAAGTGGATGAAAAATAAAAGAAAAGCCATCTTCATCTGAAATATTTATTAATTTGAAAAGAATTAATTTTAAAAATAATCACCACGAAGTTTTTTCCATTCATTTGCACATTTTAAATGTTTGTTTCCATCTGAAAATATATATGACATATAAACTATTAGTTGAACATCCTAGTTGACAAATCGGATAATCAAGTTTGATGATTGTAAGGATATGTGATGCCATTTTGCATAATGACAAATTTATCAAACTAATTTTGAGTTATGTTTTCACTCTTACAAAACTACTTCATTTACATCATATCGTCTTGCAATTTTGATGAGAAAAAAAAAATACCACTTTGAATTCATACAAAAATTAAATTAAATGATTTCTGTGAAAGAAAAAGAAACATCTCGAAGCAGTTCACTTGTTTAATTTAAAATTTTTACATTTTCACTACTGTACATCATCACAATTATTTTCAGTTGTCACATTACAATTAGAAACTTCTTTTTTCATTGTTTTAAAATCGAATTTTTCACGTAATTCAGTAATTCTGAAAAAAAAAAAACTACCGTAATCGCCTACAGTAATCTGCATGTAGAGGGCATTCATTTGTTGTAGAGTTTGCTCGGGTACATCAAAATGGCCACGTTTTCCCTTGTAGCCAGCTCGGCACATTTTATAAATTGCATTTGCAAAATCCTAGAAATAAAGTATTTCAGTAAAAAATATTTCAATATAAGAATATTGCTGCTAGTTCATTTGTCAAAACTATCTTTTTGCTTTTATAAATGCTCAAGAAACTACCGTATTCACAGTTCAAGAAATTACGATGAAATAAATGATATACTACCATATCTCGCTACAGAATTCAAGAAAACTTACACAAATATGGAAATATTTAAGACAAATGAAATTTTATAAGAAAATTGGATTCTTACACTCTACTCTATCAATGGGTAATGCTAAACTTTAACTGACTAATACTGTTTTGTCAAATCAGTACGGTAATTGTGTGCAAGGAGTATGGTAGCAAAGTAGAAATATCAATTTTTTTTTTTTAGAACGCTTTTTTTAGGATTAATTTAATTAAATTATATAAGAGAATGGGGAAAAAAACGACAAACTATCAATCATTCTTAGGAAGAATTCAAATACTCTACAAAAAAATTTATATTAACGTACTTTTTACATCTTTCAAAAAAAAAAAAAAAAAAAAAATAATGAAACAATTTTTTCCTTTTCTTACGTGACAATTTATTGCATTTCATGTTGAAAAAACTGATCGTTTTTCATGATGTTAAAATTTTTTCCTTTCTTTTTTTTTTGGAAAATTTCTGCTCAAATTATTTGTATTAATTTTCAATTGAAGTGTTGTGAAGTAAAATGAAAAAGTAATGTAATGAAGTGTTCGGAGAATCATTTTTATGTGCAATTTTTTTTCCTCGCATGTAACACTTTTTTTTTCCAAAAGAAATTAACTTTTTGAACAGAAAAAAAAAGGGAAAAAAGAAATGCAATCATATAAAATACTTAAAAGTTTGCTGATTATCAAAAGTTTTATAATACTATTAAATAGCATACTTGATCAATTTGATAAATCAAATTCAAATTAAAAAAAAAAAATGAGTTTAAATTGTAGTCGTATAAATAAATACTGATAAGATTTAGTATGCTGATAATTTGACAATGAAATGAGTGTTATTCCAGGATAGGACAGTGAGATATTTGTTTCCGGAAATGTCCATACTAAATCGAGAAAACAAAACGCATAGTTATGATTGGTGATATTTAAAGGTTAATTAGCAAAAATGTGAATATTTTCATTGTCTAATAATTACTAAATATTGTATGAATATGAAAATTAAGTTGAAAATTATGGGCTGAGTTTTATAGCTTAAATTAGGATGAAAATTTTACTTTATCTCTCCATAAATCCTTGTCTTCTTGATGTCTTCTTTTCCAATATGCCTGAAACTGTTTTTCTTCTTCTTCCGCTTCTTTCTGTTCACGTAAAAATGTCAACCATCTGCAGCGAAAATTTGAATATAATTAGATAATTAAATGAATAGATCTAGTATTTAGTCTTACTTCGCAATAAAGTTAAATGTGCAGAAAGATTTTTAAAAGACAAAAGTGCTATGATTATCAAGAAATATCTTTCGCTTAACAAATAAGATGGAGAAAAAATCATTATTCGTGATTGCCCGATCCCAGATCATACCAATTTCTCAACCATTGTGTTCATTACGTATTAATATTTGAATTAAAATATGACTAAATTGAGCATAAATAGTAAAAGTGTAATTAAACAAATTATTAGCGAAAAAATTTTCGGGAATTATCATAATGTTTTTACACGAGACTAATTAAATTGTGCAGATGCAACATACATAAATATTTTCAGTTTTTTTTTTTTTTTTATTACATAATTGTTTTAGATTTAAAAAAAAAAAAAAAAAAAACATTGGAATAAAAATAAAACGAGCCTGAACTGTAATATTTCATTAATATTACACTACTTATGTTTGCTTTTGAGTGTTCTCAGTAACTGAAACTAATATCTAAAATCAAAATATTTTATTTGTAAAGTATGCTAGCTGTATAAATAGCAATAAAAAAATTTTTTTAAATGTTTTCTTTTTAATTCTTTTTGCAATTAATTCTTGAAAAGTTTTATAATATATGTAATTTAGCAAAATAACCTCAAACGAGCTTCATTGTCTTTCTTATTTCGACGAATAATCAATTTTTCAAGTTGCTTCATTATAAACTCGTCATCCACTTCATCCGATAATTCATCCACAGACTCATCATTATCAGAAATTTTTTCATCACCCATAAAATCGTCATCCACCAAATTAGGAACTTCTTCATTACTTGCATATTCCAGTTTGCTATTAAATTGTAGTTTACCGCCACCTTGGTCACAGGTTACTGAACTGGTTATGGAATCAGTAGAGTTAATGCTGGGTGCAGAATCTAATTCAAAATCTGATCTAGACATTGACTTCTTCTTATGGTCATATCTCGTATCACCGGTAACATTTAGCTCAATGTCATTATTAAAATCCATTTTACCATCTATTTGATCTAAAGAGTCTTCACTTGACACCTTTGGAAAAGAATGTTCACTATCACTCGATGTCCAGCAGTTGTTGAAATAATCATTTCTATCACAATCGCTTGTAAAACTCATGTCTTTGAAAAATCTAAAATTAGAAATCGTGATAACCTTTCACCAAAATCATGAACAATCATTGAAATCGTGTAATACAGATCATAAGAGATGTGGAAAGCAACAGCATTTTGAATGGTACTGTCTTATAAATCGATTAATAATCTAATTTATAAAATGCCCGCATCATTTTCACCCTTACCCTGATCTTCACAACTGAATTGTTCCCACTTGTTTATCTTTCACTGCACAAAAATGTGAAATAATTCTCAAACTGCAACATATTTAATTCTTGCATAAATTTTAGGAAAATGAATAACTTTAAACACTATTAAAGTTTAAACAAAACGAGAGTAAAATGACAAATAAGAAAGCACTAAACAACTGGAATCGTGAAGGACAAAATCTCCAATTTATAAAGAATTGAAGCTAATAATGTGAATACCACTTGGTCGAAGCAAAGAACTAGCAATTGTGCAGCTTAATTTGCATCATTTTCTAAATCCAGCAAGAAATGACAATTCTTTTTTACACTACTATGCCACCTAATAAGGTCACATTATCATATCGTTACTCTCCGTTTCAATGAATATACTTGATTTTTAAATGATGCAAATTTTTGCTCATATCAATTAGCTATTAAAATCCAAGTAGATTTTATACAATCCACATCGAAATTTCAAAATATATCTCGACTTCTACAAACAACCGCAAAATAAATTTTGTTCTTAATAATAGCTCGTACACATATCGAAATGAGAAATTATGAAAGCTAACTTGGTTCTTAGAAAGCATTCATTTCTGAAAACGCCAAATGGAAATTTCACAAAACTAAAGTGATTTCTCTCTTTCTCTTAGCATAATGTGAGGACGGAAATATGCACAGTGTCAAGCAATACTCATATAGGCTTAAATAAGTGGCAATAATAAAATGAAAAACATTAAAATAATTAAAACTATATGTAAAATACAGAAATACAATGGCAACTGCTTTTACTGAAAAAAAAAAACGAAGATTTTAGATATCATTCATTATATCGGAGGAGATTTTCTTTCACTTACTGATTTTTCAAGTAACACTTCTGATGCTGTCGATAATTTTTTTAGCATCTCGACCTTAAAATAAATAAGTGCCACAAATCGTCGTAGAACTAGCAACTGCATTATTTGCAAAAGTGTTTTGAAAATATGGTAATCTTACTACAATATTTAAAACCCGTCTCAATTTCTTAATGATGTATTTCATTTCTTTCTTGAAGATAATTTTGTAATTCCAACATAAATTACCTTTTCAGGCGTAATATCAAATGCTTTTGCTGCTTCCCTCTCCCCTCGTCGCTTTGCAATTCTTATTTCTCGAGTAGCAGTCTTCTGCAGATTACATACTTTTTTCTAAAAAGTAAAAAATTTCAACTTACATATTCAGTGCAACTTCCTGCAATACAAAAAATAGAAAATAAAAACTAAGTTTTGATCGAACGAATTTCTAGTTTTACATGAAATTTTGATTGATAAATCAGCAAGCCAGTTCTAGTAATATGTTTCGTTCAGTTTATCAGAATACGATCAACATTACAGTACCAATTATTTGCTTGTTTCAGCAAGAAAGGAAATTAATTTCATTACAAAAGAAGCACAATATCTTACTTACCAAATTCCTACAATTAGATATGGAATTATTCTATAATTAGATATGAAATACATTAAATTACCATACACTATAATAAAAAAAAGAATAGGAAAATAAAGTCAAGATTCGACCTTCAGTAGAGGCTGAATATCGGGATCTGTCTTAAACAAAGTCATGAAGACACCACCGGGAGTGCGTCGACGTGTACCGTCAGCAATCAACATACCACCAGATGCTTCTATTCCACGCGTTGCTTCAAACAATTCCAGGGCTTTCTCTTCTCCTATTTCAATTATTACGCTGTAATAATTTCCAATCAGAGATCAACTTTAAAAAAGCAAACAAAAAGCTAAATGTATATGAAATCCATAAAAATTAAAAAGAAAAATAAATCTCACATAACAAAATCAGAACTCAGTTAAAGAATAAATAGGCAAACTAATCTCTTGAACCATTATTTACAGCTATTTCATAGCTTCACGTGTTTGCAAAAATGAAGAAAAAAGGACTGCTTGTCACGGAATTCCAGCAAGGTCTAATTACTTTCCTTTTGCTCCTTCGATGTCCTAAATAACCAGAACTATGTTCCGGATTAAAATTAAAATATATAATTTCTCATACAAAAATTTCAAAATACTAGCCTCCGCAAGAACTTTTCATTCCGTTCACCTAATGCTCTTACAATACGTTCAGCCAGTTCGCTAATACTAATATTTTCCGGGAATTCTGTCGTCAACAGTGTCTCCAATGAGTAATCAGTACTCGACAGCAAACTTGGATTTCGCTCGCCTTTCTGATGCTTCAAAGCATTATTTATGATTCCGACGTTCTTGGTGATTCTATTGCCGTTCCCTGAAATCAAGTTTAAAAGAAACTATAGCTTTTAAAGCGTATCTAATTTGCATATTAGCTCATTACAATTTCTATAACAAATATAAAACCTGTTCGTTGACTTAGTTCAAGTAGCACAATTTAATGAGATTTATTACTACATATCATTCAACGAGTGGTAGCTAGCAGTGTCAATTTTACGTGAATTTCATTCATAATAATAAAGAAAACAAACTTCTATTTGGATCGTAGTTATTTCGTCTCCGTTTTCCAATACCGCGTGAGGTACTTCTTGATGTGGAAGCAGAATGCTTCCATGATTCTCTATTGTTTTTTTCCTGACCAGTGAAACTTATTGGTCTTTGTCTGTCATAATCGCCACCATATGCACGTGGACATTTTTCGTACTGGAAAAACTTTTAGTTTATTTTCATTTAAGACACCTATTTACGCTTTTCATTAACATTGTAACTGAAAATGTTGACAAAAAGAGCTTAGAACAAAATATTCGCACCTTGTCTGAAAACTTTTCGATTTTTTCTTCATCAGCGATGAAATCAAACGGTTCATTGTTATTTGGATTTGGTGAAATTTCACGGTTCTACAAAAGAGCATTCATAATGATATTATAAATGAAACATTTTGAAAATTTCCTGAAATATTTATGGTCCCTAGATAGAATCAAGTACAATCTTTTCTTCCCCATCTTATGTAAATGGCATCTAGATAAATTTCCGAATACTTCACTTAGTCCAAACACATTTCAGCATAGTAATTTAACTCTTTCTATTCAACTCAGCTATATTTTACACATTTGCAACAAATTCTCCTTTTCCAGTTATGAGTAATGCAGTTTGAAATTGATGAGAAACCACAAAAACAAAAGAAATTACAAAAGTGTCACTACCGTCTGATATCGTATTTTTTGATCACTACTTGTGCAACGCAGATCAGGAAGAATGTAACTTTCAACACCGCGCTTCACCATGTCATTTTCACCTCGATATACTCCAACTTTATCAGAAAACGTTTCAGAAAGACTTTGTTCAACTAATAAATCTGTCCACATTTGCGCGGCTTTGCTAAAAATATTTGTGTGATCTAGTTTTCCCAAAAAACTTTAAGACTTTTTGTTATAAACCATCTCCGATATTTGAGTTGATATAAATTTACCTTCCAGCTTTACAATCTTTTGTTTTGTAACCAGTACCATCCAATCTCTGTTCCTTGGGTAAGGAGGGGCCCTCATCATCACTCGATGATTCATCGTAACTTTTATTCACACGATACATATCCTGAAATACTGAATTCTCATGCGGAATAGCGTCAATAAACGACGAAATTCACATCTTCAAAAAAAAAAAAAAATAATAAATAAATAAATAAAAAACGGAGAAATGTACACGCTTCATTACGAAACAAAAATATTCTATACTGAAAAATGGTAGAAAACCAATGAATGCAAACGTCATTATATCTTGTTACGAGATCCAATAAAAACTACCATCATTAACATACGAAATAATATAATGATTAATCCAATGTTTTAATTTAACTAATTTATACGAGCTCCGTTACTTGTAATCAACATTCAGCCTAAAAAAAAGAAAAAAGAGATCCCGCGACGTCTGAAACATAGCTTTAATTCAAACAGGCGGCGCTTGCACCAAATAATTATGAATAATGCGAACGGAGAACAGTAACAATAAAATGAGAAGTAATGAATTGCATTATATAAGCAATCGCTTTAAAAATATAACACATCCTTCAATTTTTAAAATCTTTTTATACATAGCACCACAGAAATACAATGTCATGAAAATTTATTAAGGGATCAAATTCAAGAAATAAATAGAATTAACATTTGGAGAATATTAATATTTTCCTTACAAGATAATGGGGAAAAAAATAACATGACGAATATATAAGAAGAAAAAGATTTTTCATTCAATAAAGCTTACATGCAAACATCCAAAATTATGGTGTTTAAGAAGATGAAATTGGACTAAAATGGCGCATAAAGCAAACAGTTTTACTTCTTCAAGAATTTCGATAAACAAAAGTTGAGACAAACCATTGCAGACTACAATATTAGGAACGCTGTATAAGGAACAATCTAAAATAAGGAAATACTACAAAGTGGCAATCTAAAAATATGAGCAAAGAGGTTCACTACAAACCAAAGTTCACTGCAAATCCCACAAAGAAATCCAATTTATTAATGAAGCATTATAACTGCATTCAAGTTTAACATCGAATTAAGAAATCCTTTTCAGCCCTTATTATGCATATTTCCCCAACCACGACGATGATCTGAAACAAACTTTGATAAAACTGTATCAATTCCACTTCTTTAATGTGATTTTTTTACTAGGTGTTCGAACATCACATGTAGTTGTGCCTAGAATGTAAATCACTGCGATATAATAAAGCATCAAATGAGATCTAACGTCACATGATAACAGTAGGATAAACTGCAAAAGTTTATCATACTTACTAAAAAGTAATACCACTTACGATCTTTATATTCATCCCATCTTTGGAGACGAGCTCGTTCCTGCTCTTCCCTTGTTTCTTCATCCACAGCATTTGAGTTAGAGCTGTTTTCAGATGAACTTGGATTTATTGCACTGAATCTGGAAAACTTCGCATTCTAGTTTAAGATTATTTCAAACTACACTACAAATTTAATGTAGTACTTTCTTTGATTTGCCGTATTTCTGAAAGTCGAAACTAGAGGGACAGAGTAGAGAACATAATACAATACCTCCCATTTTTCACCATGTCATCATACCACTCGTTTACGGTCATCGTCGGTATACTTGGATATCCCAGACCAAAAACTTTCTTTTGCACTTCATCCCGAGTTATTATGTATGGAGTTGGTGTAAACCGGTTCACTGCAAGTCCATTATAAATAAAACAGTTATTTGATGGATATGATTATTATTTAAAATGTTTCCTTTTTTCACTGGTTCAATACTCTATTACTAACATTGACAGGAAAGATCTATTTCAGTTAGCATTTTGAGATATAATGCAATAAATTGGGAAAAGACTGTATCTCAAACAGTATCATTGTGTGAAGTAGCAAGCATGAAATATCCCATTTAACATTAACAACTAATTATAATGACTCCTACATTTACTTGAACTCAAAAGCAAAAATAAAAAAAAAAGGAAAACATACTTGGCTGTTTTGGTAAAATTTCAGCTTGTCCTGCTTGGATTTTCAACATGTGTTCCACCATTGGCCTTTCTTGATCGATTTGTCCCATTTCATCTATACTTTTCATTGCAGCAAGGTGCAAACGATTTAGAATCAATTCGCGCTAAAAGAGCAAAAAAAAAGGAGAAAAGCTATAAGTGCAACAAATAAAAAATTGACGCAAATTACTGAACATGAAATTAAGATAAACAGTCCGTCCCAACATCCTCTTACCATTATTTCTAAAAATGCTATCCAAACTTTTCCGAATTAATTTCCAGTAATATTCCGAACTAATTCCAGCTCTGCATCGATGACTTCCCATTTGAACAGGTAAACGATTCGGTTAATGTTGACATACTTCCTCTCCCTTTACCTAATATTTTTTCATGCGTCAATAAATTACAGACCTGAGTCGGTACATGAAACAAATTCATTAATACTAGAGAACCTCTTATATTAAACTAACCATCAATCCGTCATCATCTGTATTTGTATATAATTCGGACTCCAAACTTTTCACCAGTTCTTCCAACTCTTTTTCCTGTTGGAATCGCCGCAATTTTAATTCCCTTTGTTTAGAGAGATCAATATCATGCTTCGATTCTCCTTTTTCTTTTTCTCCATTGTCTCCGTTTAATCCCCACAAATCAAAGTCAATAATACTGTATGATCTCAACCTTTTCAAAAAGTCTCGCAAATAAATCTGAAAATTTGCCTTGTTTAAACAAACAGTATGTTTTTAAATAATCTAAATATAACTTAGTGACATCCAACATTTCCACTTTTTCAGTGGTAGCATATACGTAAGACGCTTAAACATCGAAAGAAAACCTTTAAATATTTAGAAAAGGCAATAAAATGTGGAACTCGAAACCTAACATCCTTTCACTTGGTACTTACATCAGTACAATCGAAAATCTAAATGCATAAGAAGTTTATCATTTCCCTTGATCTAAACATTGTTTCGGATTTAGAAAACTTACACATTCCTGTTTAAAAGAAAAGGCTAACCTTAGCGCGGTCCAAAGATGAAAGCCGCTCTTCCGGTTCAACAATAAGATTTTGTGTTACGGTAGCCAAATAATAAGGTAAGAATAAATAATTCAACGATCTAGTCGACAATTCGTCAACACTTTCGTTACTACTGAATAACGAACGAGCCGATACTTCCTTTGTCAAAAGTTTTAATTTCTCCTCACACTGTTTTAACTGGTCCTGCAAAAATTATCCATGTTATCAAAGACCTCAACGAAAAGGAAAAGTAAATACTATCACAGTTTTGCATATAATCCTACTGCTTCACTTAGGCTAACAAAAGTAAATCAGGCCTATCTCACCTATGATATCAGATTCAACTTAAATCTGTCACTTTACCTGCAAATCCTTCGTACTTTGCTTCCCATCCTCCAATTTTTTGATGATATCTTCACAAAACTCAAATTGATGTTGCAATGAAATATCGTCTCGTTCGATATCGCTCATGATAATAAAGTTTCTATGAATCAACCATTAAACATTAACAGTGTGAGAGAATTATATACGAAATAAAACCTATATTTCGTAGCTGAGGCTACCATTCTCACTATGGACACATATCCTACTGCTTTGCTTGCATTTCATAATGACTATATCCACACGTTTACGTAGCAAATATCATTACTCCATAGCTACACCACATACCACTTAATCCACTAACTATAATGCCAATCCTCTCTAACTGTGATAATATCATTGCTTTCAGTATCCACTTGGTCCATTAATAGTTCATCACGATGATAGCTTTTCTGAATGCTTGGTTCGAAATATAATGAGTAAATAGAAAGGAGATATGAAGAGGTTTGGCTTGTTTTTGTTGTGTTGGTGAGAACCATAATTCATTTTTCGATTAATTTCAGGTCAAATTGATGTCGAAATGGGAGAAGAGAGCATTGCAAATGGCTGCTATTATTGGTATGGGCACATATCCTACTGCTTTGCTTGCATTTCATAATGGCTTGTAAGTTTAAAACTAATGCTAGTACAGCTTTGGCAATTTTGATAGTCTAAATATCGTTTAGCGAAATATCTATTTTTGATATCTTTAGTTTAATATATAGTTCAATTTTATGCACAAAAAATTTTTGTGCTATTTTATAGGCCTTATATATATTGTTTTATTCTATACTACTCGAAGAGTATTAATAGCATAGAATGATTTAAGACGTCCTTTATTAGCTTTAGGATTAATATTATGTCGATTTTTCACTCTTGGAATGACTATTTATAAAAGTCGTTATGAAACTTGGATTTGGAATAGGTCAAATTATTTGTCCCTAATATTATTTTCTTCTGTAAGAAAAAATTTGTAGGCAAAATTGATTTATTTTTCTTGCTTCCTGTTGATAACCTTAAATTAAGGATTGACTTTGGAAAAAGAACTATCGTTTACAATGTCTCTGACGAGATTGTGGATATGGTAGAAAGTGAATTGGATAAATTGAAAAATTTGTTAATGAAAGTTAATGTAAGCAACTTATTATTTTTTTTATTTAAGTCATAACAGTGGACATGTGAGTTATCTTATTTTCAACTCCAAATGTCAACAATTTAACCCTATTCCTGTTAGATTTTGCCGACTTTCTGGTCAGTGAGCTGAAAAGGTAATGATTCAATAATTCAGTTATTTTAGTTAATGCCGTACCTAATATGAAAAAATAAGTTCCGAAGTCAGTAGTATGTATTCAATCACTTCCGAATGCATATTGATAGAATTATATAAGAATAATCTTAATTTTTCTGTAGACCAATATTGCCGTGACCGATTCATTGGATCCAGAATGGCGTGGAGGTTTTTATTTTAGAAATGGTTTCGAACTATTATTGCCTTTGCGTGCTGTAGCAAAAAATTTGTCCGAATTACCCAAAATGAAACAGATAGTTAATGTCAAAACGAACGGTTTCCTTTTAGGGTTTGTCCTTAATCTATAACAACTTTTCTTTGATATTTAATCTATGAAAGCTTTTCTTTGTTAAATCTAAATGATGTGAGAAACTTTTTTGTATTATGTAACCCTTTCAGATTATAATATAAGACAAAGATCAGCAGACTACCAAGGTTTAAAGTTATTATATATAAAGGGGCTTATTTTGTAAAAGTTATACTTTTTTGTAAAACTTTTGTGTTTCATAATGGTCCAATCTACCACTTTTCCTCTTCCATGTGGAAATTTCAAGACTTTATATTTTCGAATTTTTAATTGCTCCAATTTACAGCAAAAGGAAATTTTTGGATACTACAACGGACATTGGAAAGCATATATTTGATGATTATTTTCTATCAGAAGCAGCTCGTCGCTTTCTTATCCGACGTGAATTACTCAGGGCTAATAGGTATTAAATCATTAGTATAAATAATTCCGTGTCATTCAGCATTTATGTTCTCTTCCTGATAATATTTTGTGTTTCTAAGTCAGAATGTTTAATATTTCATAGTTTAGCATGTTAACTTTCAAAACTTTCAATAATCCTTGAAATTTTATTTTGAATTATATAAACAAAATAATTAAACCTGATCTCACAGATCACATTTTCAGTCGCCAATTTATTTTGGTACCCGTTTCCATGTGGATTTTATTGTCAAGTGTTGTGTGTTTATCTTTCATGTGTTTAATGCGTTATGGTCGCATCGTTTCTTATGGTTCTTTGGCTGTATTGATGCCGTTGGCAGCCGTTATTTTCCAGAATGCCATGAGAAACTTCTTTTCACAGAGTGAAATGATGCTAGACTATAATGCTTGTGCTGAGTAATTTTTTTTTTATTCCTTTTTACACACAACAATTGATCAAAATTGACAAGTCTATTTAAAGTGATTAATCTCATTTCATATTTTCATTTACTGCATCACAGATTCCGAAAGGTTGTTATACTCACAGCAACGAAAAGGTAGTTCAGCGAAGAAAACACATCCAAAAAAAAAAAAAAATTTCACTGCATGTTGGGTTTTTTATATTATGCTTCAAATTAGATAAATCAAGTCCAGTGCTTAAATTTTTAAATTATCGTTGAGTCCTTGAAAACTTCGTTCCAGTTTCAGTTCTCCGGAATATGTGGAGGGTGCGCGTCAGTACCTGAATTCATCAGCTGCAACAAATTTAAGGATACGTAATGCTCTAGGTGATTTGGAATCGGAATTTATTGCAGCAAATGGTGACAGTGTTGGTGATTCATGGCCCTATTCGAAACGATTGAAAGCTATTCAAAAATTAGCTGCAGAACAGTCTCAGAAAAATAATTCTACTACCAATAATTCGCATAAGTAGATTTAATCTACAAACGATTTTTTCTCCTTCAATTGGTGATGAAAGGTTAGCGAAATTAATAACATCTTGAAGATTATAACTTCAGTTTCTGCAAATGGAATTAATGTTTGTTAGATTTTGAACTGCCTTTCCGGCACTTCAATGACTCTTCCTTATTATTCTCATTTAATTTGTACTGGTTCAGGTATTCATTGCGACAGTATCGTTTCAAGCAACATGGATTCTTGTTCATCTTACTCCTCTTTCGTTAACGTCGTCTGTATGAATAAACACTTTATCCTATATCTGTGTTCATTTATTTTTTTGTATATTCATGAATATACTTCCACTTAAGAAGTTTTTAGTGTTTTCTTATTATTGGTTGTTAGTTTGTTATTTAAGACAGTTGTCTCTTCTGCGGTTTTTGTAGTCTTTGCTAGGGTACAAAATAAAAAGCTAATAAAATATAAATGATTATTAAGCACTGATGCCACTGTTTATCAATTTAAAAATTATTTTTTCTAAAAAATTATGTGTGTTTGTAATGGCTTTTGATTAGCTATTTTTACAATAATTTACATTTCATTGTGTCCATGGTTTGAATTTTTGAAATAGTAAATTAGAGATAATGAAATTCTCGCATATGTGAATTCGAACACGGTTCCTATTTCAGTCGATGAGTACAGAGTTCTTATGGAAGATAAATAGGCAGTGGGCACGACGTATACGTACTGGTGTAATTGCTTCAGCGGTGTTATCAGTTCCGTCCATATATTTGTTAGCCAATGGACCATATTTGAAAGAATACTTTGAGAAACGATATGATGTGTCTAATGTATTACCCAGTCATCTTCAGCAAATTGTTGATTCAGTAAGCGGTTAAAGATTTGAATTAAATTTAGTTATGACGACTTCCATAATTCATTTTCAAATCTAAAGTATTTTACATGATTGTTGAAATTTTATTTTACTGACTGTTCTGTTCTTCGTCATTATCTTTTGATTTTACGTGATTCTTTTGACGAAATATTTATTAGCGGCTCTATTTACTGTCGATTACTGTTCTTATTAGCCGCACTACTAATTGCGTGAGAGTTATTCGGCTTTAGTTTCCTTGAATGAAATATATATATATATTTTACTCATTTAATGAGAAATATTCACTGTAGTGATTGATGTCACAATAAAGAATTAAATATTGTAGGAATATGAAAACTTCTTAATGTCAGGTAACCGAGTACAAAAAAGAAAACGAATCACTTTTTACTGTTCAACCTCAGAAAGTAAGTTATGATCTAATATTAATATATAAAAATCAGTCAATTTTCGATAATTCCCTTCTTTGAATTATCGAAAATCTTTGAGTAATAAGCTTCATTTTAGTGCTTTACATTCTATTTTTTTAAGTGATGCTTTGGAATGATTTTTATGCTTTTAACTTATTTTTCCAGTGTTAAGAGTACTGGAAATAATGCTTTACAGTTGGAATGAAGAAGGCTTGAAGACAGCGTCTCCTATCCTACTTCATTATAATCTAATAGTATAATCAACTATTGTTGTCTTATGATTTCGAAATGAACAAATATTTTCAGTGTATTTGGATTCAGTAACACACGGAGCCCTTAACAGTCCGTGGGGAGCCCGGACAGCTTTACCATTTTATACACAATTCCAAACGTTCAATGAAGCTTATGATTACTGCAAGAAAAAACTGGAACCAATGTTGTTCATGGGTGAGCAAGCATGCGTCATTTGGGAATCAAATGTTGGTCGACAGATAATTGAGACATTCCTTCTTAGCGACGATGTTGGTGTATTTTGTTTGTAATTAGCTATCTTCATCGTTATCTTTTTGAAGCAACTAAAGCTTGGGAATTGGGAACAGACAGGTTTTATTTGGTAAATTCATGATAATTTTTTATAATGGTTATTAATTTTTGTTTGTTCATTTCACCGATAGCTTTATAATTTTTCAGGCCTTAAGATTCCTGGTACTGCGTGATTTGACTGCACATGAAGCTATAAAAAGAACGGCGTTATTTGTATTTTACTGGCTTTGTTATACAAGTATTGCCTTTATGTTATCTCAAATCATAGTACATTATTATTTTACTAGCAGTGTACTGTGGTTTTGTGGATTGTCCTTAATTCTAAATATTCCGGCATGCTGGGGCAGTATACAGAATGCCAAACTTGATTGGTGAGTTTATGAAGCAGCCATTATCACTTCATCTTTTCCAAGTTCCAATTTCCTTATATTAACCTGATTCGAATTTATTCACTTTTCAATGGAGCTAGGCACTGTGACACTTAGGTCTATTCAAATAAGCATTTAAACGCTTCTTAGATCCTATTTTTGTTCACCCATAGTGAAATGTACCAAATTTTTTAGGCATGCTACCGATCAATCGGCCGATGCCGATGCTGCTCGGGTTTCGTTGGCACATAGCAAAGGTGGTAAAGAGTATTATCAGAAAATGCTGAAACGAAATCGGTAATGTGTTTAATCATAATTTAAATCGCTAAATAAAAAATAGGAATAAGTGCTCTTTCTTAATTTGAATTATGCGAAAAATGAACGGGAAAAAATAAATGTCTCCCTTTTTCACTTGTCATTTGAGTCTTTGAGAAGGACGGAGACTGCAGTGCATTGATATTATCTGCGCCTACACCACTGCTTTCCAAAGAATATATAAATATTTATTTATTTATGTTGTGTTTTTGTCGAACGACACCTGGCTCTTTTAGTTGATTTATTAATAAAATAAGATGTTCACTGTATTACTAGAAGTCAAACCTCTTTCTTGCTTGCAAAAACTCCAAAGGTGAATTTCTTTCGTAACAAAAATCTTTAGTGATATTTAACATTTGTTAAAAAAAGTGTAAATGTATACTAAACCTTCTATAAGCGAGAATTTTTATTGCATTGCAATGAAATATTATAATTGAAATTGTTTACTTTAAAATGATAGAGTTGGCAGATAAGAGAGGGATTTTTTTTTAATGCAAATGAATTTTTAGACTGTTACGAGAGATAATCCATGATGGTACGAAGAAAGTGTCAGCTGTAGGCAATCCAAAGAATTCTAATACATCGTATTGGTCACGATATACGTCATTAGTAGATTTGGATGCGGAAAATAAATTGTTGGATAAAATAAGTGCTACTGGTGATTCATGACTGCGATTACGAAAAATTTACGAGTAATATGTACCATCAATTAGTGATAGAAAGAGCCTATTATCTCTGGATAACTTTTATTTAGTATCATGGCTTTATCATTAATTTATAGTTGATTGAAATTGATTGGAAATGTTACTATACTTTGCGTCATCCAAGTTTTCTGAGCAGATCACCATTCCTTTGAATATGTAAGTCATGTTTAAGAATGTTGATTAATTAATTAAGAGCCTTTATACATTACTGCAACTGTAATACATGTCATATGTTAATTGTTTTTGCAATTTATTGTAATCTAGTTTACTTTGAAAATGTATTTAAATCGTTCGAACATTTTATCTATCTTTTGCTTTCAACTTCGATAGTATTTTTTTACGGATTAAAAGAATTTAGGGGAAATAAGCTCAACTTTGGAAGTCTCTTTGTTATAAAATGTAGATAAAGATTTCACTGACCTTTATGCTGCGACTTCCTAACGTTTGTCTCGATGGATTTTTTTTTTTTTTTTTTCTTTGACTGAATCAATCGTTTTAGAGTGTAATTAGGTAGTGCAGCTAGGTGTATGAGACTTGTATTGTGTGAGCCATTTTCCAAAAACTTTATTAGGTGTAGCAAAGAAAAAAAAGATGTTTTCCAGGATTTGTTGAAGATGGATTTGCGAAAAATGTCTGATCCGGAGAAGGTAATACTTTGTAAGCGTTATTTTTATATCGGTTTTGCTTTGTTGCCACTAGTTTGGATTGTTAATGCTGTGTGGTTTTTCGAGTCTGCATTTTTTGATAAACCTTCACAAGTGCAAAAAACAATCAAAAAATGTAAGTTTTCCATTTAATTAATAAATTCTAATTAGAAAAAGATAATTAGTTAAGCCATAAGTGTTAACAATAAGTGATATACTGGAATACCTAATTTGTGGATGCACAAAGATTATTCACATGTCACATCAAATACTATAGGTTGAATATATCCAGGATTTAAATAAGTAATATTTTTTAAACAGAGAAAATAAGAAAGATGAAAGGGATGGTTGAAAAAAATTAGGGAATATTATCCATTAAATATTTCCAGTAGTAATTTTAGAGCCTGATTACTTCAGTTTATTATTTTCTCATTTTAGATGTGCTCTATTCAATAATTGGTGCATCAGTATGGGTATTAGCTCTCATTGCCTGGGAAATATTTTTTCAGTTGGAAAGAGCCAAAGGATTGGAATGGACTGATCGATTGTCTTTCGTATTTCCTGTTGGATATGTTTAAAAAAAGGTATATTTGATTGTTATTCAGTATATTTATATGCATATTTTTTCATTCGTTTCTCAGCCGTTTGTCATTTTTATTATTTTGAAGCAAATTTCTTTTTTTTTTTTTTTTAGTCCTAACGGTTTTTTTTTTTTTTTTTTGTAATCATACAAAAATAATTGTTCAATAAATGTCTTAGCAAATATCTATTGAAACCAAATTCCTTTACTGCCATTAACTGATAGAAGAATGTTCAAGTGGAAGCTTTATCTCCGTGTTCTTTCTTTCCATTGCGAAAAGTAATGGTCTTTGGTCGTTGTTTAATGACGATTATAAGTAGTGGTCTCTGGTCATGTCAGTAAATTTTTTCAATTGATTAAATGTTCGAATAAACTCAAAACTAAAAAGCTTAAACAGTGACATTCAATATGTTTTGTTTGAAATACGTGGAGTTTATGGTTGTTTTTTTTTTTTTTTTCTCATTCCATTCTAAACTATTCTTATACCATTTTGTCCGTATGCTACAATTCGTTATTTTATTAAGATAAATTGAACGATAAATTTCTCAACGATAAATTGGTTCATGAATTGCTTTCATACATTGGAAAAAATTATTATTTCCATTTCAAGCATTATCATTTATTAGCGCTGATTATTTGTAGCAATAATATTTCATCAAAATGGGTGAAATCCAATAAATTTTTGTCGAAATTTTCAAGCTGTGTTTGACATCATACTATAACAAACAATGCACAAAAAATAAAGAATAATGAATAAAGGCCCTGTTGGTCTTTTTTTTTTTTTTTCACTAATCAACTTACCCAACATAATTTAGGATTTTCTCAGAAGTGAAATCGACTATCATCAATGCTTAAAAAATATCGAAAGGATTTGTAGAAGTATCATTCAAGGTTTTTTGTATTCATTACAACAAAATTTTTTTTTTTTTACTAAAAATTGCACTTCTTGAGCGGACGGTCATGATAAGTCATAGTTTCATTTCGATTTACACAGCTTATGAATATTTGGTTTGTTTAATCATCAATCATCACATATCAAACATTTACAGAATGATAGAAAATATAGCATTACACATTATCCATGATGATTATCGTAAAACTAATCAGTTTTATTTTGAGAAAAAGAAAATTGATTCATTATTTAGTGATGCTAAAAGATACTTAAAAATGCTAAGTTATTACTGCTTATTTAAATTCTGCATTTTTTTGTTTTTTTTTTTGTTTTTTTAAACCAAAATATTTGTAAAATTGCTTAGGAAATTGGTAGTAATAATATTAACTATAAAATTTCTTCAATTCATTTTCGATATCGTATCATTATTGATCATTAATTTCTTGCATTCATATTATGGCAACTAACTCCCTATGTGACTATTTCAGCAATTTTTAAGCTTTCCAAATGTCATTTTCAATTAGATCAAAGATTTCGATGATAAATTTTATTCTCTCACATCTCTCATACTAATACTAAATAACTCTTCGTTAATTTTTCTTTTTTTTTATTTTATTTGTTCTTTTGTGTTTTCTTTATCTCTGTGGTAATTGGAGACAGTTTAAGTTTAGTATATGTGCTGCTAAATGCTTTGCTTGAAGTTTAATTTGTCTCTATTTTTGCTCACTCTTATATGAGAGAGAATGTTCGATTATAATTAAATGGCTTTGACCTTCATTTTTCTCAACATTCAACTTATCATTTCTATATGAAAAATCATTTAACATTAATTTACTCATTTTGATAAAAGGCAATTTCATATTCATCCTAGTTTAATAATTCTTGCAAAATTACCAATAATAAAGTTTTTCAGCAAAATCTATTGCTAAAATATGAACTTATTCTGAACAAAATCAAGATTTATTGTTCTCAAATCTTGAAAGATCATGATTTGAAACCTTAAAAGATCATGATTTCAAAGATCACTTTCAGTATCGCAGAAAAAGTTAACAATAGCTGAATATTCTTTATCTAAGAAGTTATATGTAAATGTACTATAAAGAGAAAATAGATGTGATAACTGAGATAAGATTGTTTTCTTTGTAAAATATACCCTATCTAAATAATTCTATCAAACTTATAATTTTTTTTGCATATTGAATTTTATTTGTGTTTAACATTTTTTTAAAGTTATAAATGGGTTATGAGCTGAAGAAAGATGTTGACAAAGCTAGAATGACTTTAATTAGACTAAGCTTTCAATAGACAGTTACTTTTTCTTATCACACAAAATTGATAACGATAAGATAGTGGTAATAAACTTCAAAATTTTCTTCCTCGATGAAGTATGACTAGTTTTTTTTTTTTTTGTTATCATTGAACATTATTTGTACCAGGTTTATTGTCACAGCATTCAACAGTTTCTAATGATGAAAAGACCAATCAAATTAAATTATTCTAGATCATAAAAAAAAAAAAGCTTTGCTTTTTTAAAAGTATAAAATTAACTTATTGCTTTTATTTCGCTTTCAAACGAACACTGTTTATCATTTAAAGAAAATAGATGTCAATAATTTCATTGGAAAATGAATACGTTAGGACTGAATTTTTTTTTTTCCATTTAAATTAGTGAAGAAATGATGCAGTAATATTCCGTTTTAAATTTTACAAAAAATTCTAACCAAAAAAAAAAAGTGTTTATTTATTGGGAGCAAAGTTTCAATTGATAACTTGAGAATCTTTTATGAATTTTATTTCATTTCATGTTCAAAATCTTTTCATCTTATATAATTGTATGACTTTCATTTTTTATATGTGCTAGAAATTTAATTCATACTGCTTATCAATTTTAATTCAAATTTAATTTAAAAAATTTAATTCAATTTAATTCAAATTTCAAAAAATTCAAAAAAGTTTAATTCAATTTAATTCAAATTTAATTTAATTAACAAACTATCAGCTACCTAATATGCAATAATAATTTGAATTTTGGATGCAAACTGTGTTCCATTAAAATTCGTAGAATGCAATTCAATTTTAATTCTGTCTTATCTCATTTCAAAAATATTAAAATATTGTAAATGCTAGGTTTAAAAGTACCATTCTTTTTAAATATATTCATTCATTATTATTTTTTTTTCTGACTTTACGTATATTTTAAATTTAATTCTAAAATTATATTCATCATTCTAGATCATAATGTCGCTAAGCAATACACTCACAGGATTAGCTGCTTGTGGTGTTTCAACTTGTTTGTTTGGATCTTTATTTGTACCCATTAAACGATTTAATCCTGGTGATGGTCAGTTTTTTTCTTTTTCTTATAGAATAAATTTAAAAATTTTAATTTAAAATTTAATTGAACTAAAGCATCAAATGTAACGATTGCTAAAACAGTTAAAAGATGATAAACTGGAAATAAAAATCGTTTCCTCTTTATGAGATTGTAAGAAAAATACTGCAAATCATAGCATAACTGAAAGGAACATAAAAAAGATCGATAAAAAACTCTTTCAATAAACCGATGATATCTCTGTAAAAAACTGAGTTGAATTTAATTTAAATTTTACCAAAGGAAGATTTTTTGAAAGTATATTTTAAGAAATAGCAATATTTATAGTAACTACATTTAACTTAAAATAATGATTTCATATAATTCATTATTTGTATTATATTATGAATAATGAATAAATATATTTGTACATGAAATAATTTCAGGTTTCTTTTCACAATGGATAATGTGTGCGGCAATATTCCTGGTTGGCATGATAATTAACGCCTATGAAGGTTTCCCGCAATTTTATCCGCTTGCGATGCTTGGTGGTATACTTTGGGCAATTGGTAAGCTAGCCAATATTTAAGTATCAATATTGTTAATAGATTTTTAATAGAATAATAGAAAGTGTAAAAATTCAAAGTTCCTAAAATTTTCAAGAATTTTTAATATGGTAAAATTCATATGCGTTCCGCAAATTTCATGAGAATGTCGAAAATATTGATACAAATTTTTGGAATTCTCCTAAGGTTTTATATTAATTGCAGAATTTTTTCTAGGAAAATTAACTTTTATATTTTTTTAAGACTTATTTAAAATTCAATGATTTTAATTTCAGGAAATGCAATGGCAATAATAATTTTCGAATTGATTGGTATGGGTATGGCAATATTAATATGGGGTATTGCTAGCTGTTTGATGGGTTGGGCAAGTAGTCGTTTTGGCTTATTTGGCCTAAAAGAAAATATTCCAAATAGTATCACTTTGAATTATGTTGGCTTGTTACTTATTCTTTTCGGGTAAATTGCTTTCTTATAATTCCTTCTGAATTTTTGCATTCAAAAATTTCAAACATTGATTTTTTTTTTTTAATATCTCATCAGAAAATTCAACTTTTATTTTTTTAGAAATTTTTAACTTTTTTTTTGTTGCATAAAAAAAAAAAATAAAAAACATTTTCAGTGGAGTGCTATTTGCACTCATAAAACCAACTATGAAGTCTGATGATTCTAAGGAAATTGACGGTGAACAAAAAAATGAATTGGTTATAGAAGTGGAATCGCCTGCTTTACCATTAAAATCACGAAAGAACGGTTATGAAGAAACGAAATTATTTAGCAATGATGAAAAAGAGAAAGGAGATTCAATGAGAAAACGAATGTTGTATGTTATTTTCTTTTTTAAATTTATCAAAACTGTTACTGTGTTTACTATGCTACTCTTCGCTAATATTACGAACATTGTATTATTCATTGATAAAAGATTAATTATCAAATTATCTTCATCAGATGATGTGTCATTTGATTTATCTGGCATAATCATAATGATGATATATGATAGCAACATCCTATGATCTTCATATTTTGATAGGCATAAGTTATTATTATTATTATTATCATATTTCGATGAAATGAACTGACTTAGGCTTTTGTGTCACAAAAATAATTCTTAGATAATAGTGATCCAATGCTGGTGTAACAAAAAGAAATACTTTTGTAAAAGTAATAATTGGAAATTTTGAAGTAAACAAAGCAATAATTTCAGCGGTATAGCACTGTCGCTGTTTGCAGGTCTATTCTACGGGCTGACATTTGTTCCTGTCATTTATGTTCAAGAACATCCTGACCAGGTCATTCTTTCTTTTTTTTTTGATTAAAAAAAAAATTAAATTCATCACTGTTATCAAAAAAAAAAAAAAAATAATAATAATTTAATACCTAATTTATTGCTGATACTTCGAAAACTTAATTTAGCAGTAGTCTTATTGTATCATTTAATATCTAATTTTTGTCATTGCAGTTCGCAGGGGCACCATCGGAAGCATTACCATACGTTTTTGCTCATTTCACTGGCATTTTCGTTACTGGTACAATTATTCTGGTGGGATACGCCATTATCAAGCTTAATAGACCAGTAGTCAATCATCAAATTATCTTACCTGCCTTTACTTCGGGTATTATGTGGGCTATTGCACAAACTTCATGGTAATGTTACATTTAAGTTATTTGAGTAAATGAAAATGCGAGTATGTCTTAACTCTTCAAGGTGACATTCACATTTATGTCAAAAGTCGGTGAATTCAAAGAAATCTTTTGCCATTTAATTTAATATTCATAAAGCAGCAAATAAAATAATGTTTGACAAATTTTAGGTTCATTGCAAACAATTACATTGCTCAGTCGATATCATTCCCTATCAACAGTATGGTACCAGGTGTCATTGGAGCTCTTTGGAGTGTCATCTATTTCAAGGAAATTTGTGGTACACGCAATTTGAAAATTTTATCCGTAGCTATAGTAATTACTATTACAGGTGCTATAATAGTTGGATTATCAAAGGATCTTTAAAAACAATTATTCGAAATCTTTAAACATTAATTTAACATACCGTAATACTTCATCCCAAATTTGAATGAAGTGCTTTTAGTAAACTTCATTCCCTTTCCCAAGTTTAAAATATTGATACTGGAAAATATAGTGGAATATAAGCAGTCCGCTAAATCAATGAGTTATGCAATTTCATTGATTATAATTCGAAGTACAAAAGACGTAATAAACATTGATTCAATGTATTTCACAGTGAAATAAACATAAATATTGATCAAATTTTTTTTTCTTGCTGAAAAATTTTTAAAAAATGCTAATTTTTGCGCTTATTTCTGCTACATTAGCCTGATAAATCACAGGGGATTTTTAATGGAATTAACATTTTTCCACTTTTTTTAGTACAAATGATAACGATATAATCAGAGGTAGTTAAAATATATATATTTTTTTTCACAACTAATTGTTTCCGGTGGTTAATGGTAAGTTCCTAAAAACAGAAAAGCAATCCGTGTTCGATGCAAATTTCTATTGTTCTTACGAATAACAGTTCTCATTACTATACATTAGTTGTTAGCTTATGGTTTAAGATTTATATCTTGATAAAAAGAAGTAAGTGGGATAGATCTGAATTAATCAGTACAGTCTTTTTGTTTTTACATTTTCAGATAACTATTTTGTATATAGTGTTTTTGTAAAAAGACGACTGAAATGTTATTGCTAATTCTTAAAGTTCAGAAATTTGTACCAAGCAAACAAGTTGGCTTTACTTTTTTGTGAATTTTTACAAACAAACTGGGCAACATGCGAGAATCCACACTGCTTGTTCACTTAGTGAATCCCAAACACCAACACAAGATAACAGTAAAAGGTATTCAGAGACCATTGGCCTGTTGTGAAAATGAAATGTCGTTTTGGTCAGAAGAGTAGATGATTTAGGTTAGTTAAGTTCACTAGACTTACTTTAAATTTGTGGAATTTGAATTGAACCCACTGCTTATTTCCGCGAGTAAGATTGACGCAAATATCGTTTATTTTCTTTTAAAATGTGAATCGACACAAAATATACAGTCGAATAATCGAAACATCGGAGGAATGAATGGTACGATTAAATAGTAGTAGGTTGAGAAAGCCAATCGTTTTTTTTTTTTATTAACTTCTCACAGAAGATTTTTAAAGATGTTGAAAGTGAACTTGATTTAGCAGATTAACATTTACAATGAAGACAAATGTGCATTTACTATTTGAGGTTTAAATAAAGGATTCATTGTTTCAAAAAATGGGAAATAACAAAGGAATTCATTAGAAATATTCTGTACATTTAGTGTGTAATAAATATTTTTTCGGTTTTTGCCATCAATGCAGAATCAACAATTTGTTTATTTCGTCTACCGGTACAGGTCACTGCCTACCTGCAGAATCAATAACTTTTATTTAGTCTATGGGTACAGGTCACCACAATGGCGAAGCTATAACCTAATGAACAAAGGCTATTGTTTTAATCCACTTCGTAACCTTAACACCATAAATCCCTTTCAATTTTCTCCCTTACAAAGCCATTCATTACAGTTCTTTGTTTGGTATGACTCGGTTGCGAGGTGTCTAGCTTGCTTATATTTTTAAATGGTTTATAATTTGTATTTGTGTGTTATGTATCAATTCATTATTGTGCTGTTGTATAATTTTTAATGTTAATTTGTGGTTTTATTACCCAACTTTGAGGTTTGAATAATAAAGTATTTCACGAAGACTCCCACAGTACACGTACACAGAACGGAACCAGTACAAATTCGAGAAACTACCAGTATCAAAGACAAAGAAGTCAACGATCTGAACTATCAAGAAAGGAAATCTACTTTGTTTCACAAGGAAATAGGAGAGTAAGAAAAGAAATCCTAAATTTGCTTTTACAGGATCATTTTGAAATACAAAAACTTTGATCCTGATTTACTAGTTTATGATATGTGCTGATCCGATAAATTCTTAACATCTCACGAGAAATTCTTGTAAATATATTTGAATAAAAAAGCTGGAAAGAGAAAAAAGGGAGAAAGAAAAGCCTTACGTTCATTAAAGTAATACAATTTAAATATATTGCAAATAACAGCAAAATTTTAAAAACCTTTCTCAAGGTTTTTGCTTTGCTGAAATTCAGTTAACTCTCATCTCGCTTTCTTTTTAAAATTTTCAAATTAAAATTACTTAACTCATTCTCGCCTCCTTAATTTTCAAAACCTTCATCTCGTTTACTTATTAAGAAGCTTCGACTATTAAGGAAATTTTCATCATTTCAACTTTTTCAATATCACCATTTCATTTTTATGCCACAAATACTACTATCATTTCACAAAACACCAGTATATTACGAAACATGTATACTTTATAATGAATTACTTCAGAATTATCACTCTGTTTAGTTTTAGTGGGGGAGTCCAACTATCAAAAATACCCCTCATTTGATGCACCTTTTGAGAAATTCTGAAAAAAATCCTTCTTTTTGATTCTAGTTCCCTATTTTTCTGATTGTTTTTCATTCAATTTGCTTTTATATTTTGTGCATTTTGATTTTATCTGTTTACAAAGTTGTGTAAATATCTGACAGTTTATCCAGCAAATTGTTAATTTTGTCCTAGTATCGTATCCAATAAATTGCTAATTTCTGTTTTGGCTCAACTGTTACAATCTAATATTTGTTTTTATTTTATTTTGTTGCTTTTTGGTTCTGTTTGCAAGCTGTGCAAACATTTTCCATCTATAAATATTTTTATCAAAGTCAAGCTTCCGATATCTTTTACAGTAATTTGTTTACCTAACTTCAATGTAACTCTCGATGTCATGTATATCTGAACTAATTTATTACGATTTTAACTTCCATGTTTATATTTCAGTGATTAACATATAAAAATGAACGAAATTGGCCATTTGACATAATGATATCAACATGTTGGAAATTTTCATCATCGTTTTTCTCAGTGAATTTTTTCTTTAGTTTTCCGTGTGTACCGATAATCATCAGTAGTAATTCTCCCAATACAATAATCCCTTACTGCTTAATTCCAAAGAAAATAATATAATTTAAATTTTAATTAATTATCGATGCAAATATTCACTAAAATAATTCCTTCATGACACATATATTTACTTCATATTTACAAATTATGCTACTAATATAAATAAATATCAATTATTCATAGCAATAAATATTGAAATACAGAAGTGGACAACAGCTTTCGCAAAGTGATATGAATCGGACTACGCTAATATTATTTTTCATTATACTCAGTAATACAATTACTGTTATACACGGTAAGTTATTAAATAGAATGACACGTTAGTAACGTGAACAGAGGAGAAATATCATTTCTAAAGACACAATGAAGTCTCAGATTAATATTATAATAGGTATAGCAATTAAAAAAACTCTTTAATCACACCGCATTCTAATCAATATAATAATAATAACTTCTTTATATGTTATTCAATCCAAAACTGTACACACTGTCATACATTTGGCAAATGAAAAGGCTAAATTGAAGATCATAAATATTCACGAAGAACTTAAGAAGTTCAAACGTAAAATAAAATATTACATTTTATTGAAAAATTACAAAGTGCTTAATAAATAGAACAAAATTAGCAATGGCATAGTTTTGAATATACTTCTAAGTTGTAGCCTATTGCAGGTTATGTTCGTGGATGTTACTACACTAACTGGGCTCAGTATCGAGATGGTTCAGTGATGCTTTAAATAATTTCATTTTTATTAGAGAGATTAAATAATTTCAAGAAAAAGAGTTTCTAAACAAATGCGCAGTTTTTCGAATAAAAATTCGAAGCCATTGATTGTAATGGCTATGATAAAATGAGAAGAAACAATTTATAATTAGTAATTCAACTCCTAACATGAGCGCAAATTCTTTTCATTACGGATTTTTTAAATCCATTTCTATATGTGCCTTCCTTCATCAATGCAAACTAATATGCAAATCGAAACTATATAAATGAAATTAAGCAAAGTAAATCTTATTATCACAATATTAATTATAATATCTATCTGTCAATCTAACATGCATTTCATTTTAAAGGAGAAGGTAAATTCTTGCCTGGAAATATTCCAAATGGACTATGTACCCACATTCTTTACGCATTTGCTAAAGTCGATGAATTAGGTGATTCAAAGTAAGTTGCAAATGATATTTGTGATAGTAAATATGAATGCCATTTTCATATTTTGCTCAAACTGAAACTAAAATTTTTTCAAAATTTTATCAGTTACTCCGGCAGTGTTTATATGTGTGCTTCAGTAATTTGAGCTATTGCTCAATATTGTTTTCCAATGAGTGCGCAATTGTCCCACCAAATACCATTTCTGTGATTCTTCTTTTTCTTCTCCCTCTCTTAGACCTTTTGAATGGAACGATGAAGATACTGAATGGTCGAAAGGAATGTACTCAGCTGTGACGAAACTGAGAGAGACTAACCCAGGACTGAAAGTCCTTCTTTCCTATGGTGGCTACAACTTTGGATCAGTAATTTTCACTGTTAGTTTCTGTTTTCTTCAAAAGGATAGCATTCGTCAAACATATCGACAAAATTTCAGAAATAGTTTGTTGACATCTGCTCTCGTTGGCACTCTCGGGACGTCCTATTGTTTTTTTTCCAAAATACCCATATAAATTTAGTGATAGACAATATATTAAGGGAATAGCGAAGTCGGCGCAAAAAACGGAACGTTTTATTAAATCAGCTATAGCATTTCTCCGTAAGAATAATTTTGATGGATTCGATTTGGATTGGGAATATCCAGTCGGTGTAGCTGAGGAACACGCTAAACTTGTTGAGGTAAGCGCAATCTCTTAGCAATTTATCATTGTAATCAGACATTGATATCAAATTTCAGTTCACAAAGGGAAAATTTCATTTCCATTCGTTGTTGTGTGTTGATTTTACTGGAAAAAAAGAAGAAAATAAAATTTCCAGGCAATGAAAACAGCGTTTGTGGAAGAAGCCAAAACATCTGGTAA